GACCCCACCCCGCCATCCTGAGCAGGGCTGTCCGGCCGCAGGGAGAACGCGGAGAACATGTACTTCTTCTCTGACCTGGCGCTGACGCTGAACGAGCCTGAGGAGCGCGTGGCTCCCACCGACAGTCGGCTGCGCCCCGACCAGCGGCTCATGGAGAGCGGCCGCTGGGACGAGGCCAACGTGGAGAAGCAGCGGCTGGAGGAGAAGCAACGGGCCGTGCGCCGCAGGAGGGAGGCCGAAGCCGTGGAGGCCCTGGAGGAAGGTGAGATGCTCCGGGATGTCCGTGGGCAGGGGCAGCGTGGGACAGGGAAGGGGGTGGATGGATCCCACGGCTCCCGTGTGGCCGTGGGAGGCGTGGGACCCGCCGGATTTCAGGTGGAAAAGCGTGGCTGACGCCGTGTTCCTCCCGGGACAGGGAAGGACTACGAGGGGTACATCCCGCTGTGGTTCGAGCGGAAGGTGGATGCCGTCACCGGGGAGCTGATCTGCGTCTACAAGGGCGGCTACTGGGAGGCCAAGGAAAAGCAGGACTGGAGCGTGTGCCCCGACATCTTCTGAGCCCCTGCCCACACTGGGGCCGCCCCGCAGGACACCGGGACAGCCTGGGGACAGCCCGAGGGACACCCTGACAGACAGCCCAGGGACAGCCTTGGACAGCCCGGACACGCTGGCACTGCCCCGCCGGCAGCTCCCTGGGCAACCCCCGAGTCAACACATGCAGAGGTCAAAACAGGGATTCCAAACCTATTTTTTTACGCACTAATAAACAGCATCCTTTTTTTTTTGTTTTCTTTTTTTTTTTTTTTTTTTAATGATGGCTTTTTCAGTGATTAATTGGGATGGAGGACACGTGGAGCCGGGTTGGGTTTGGGATATTCACTGCCTGTATCCCTCGGCTCCATCGGCCGAGACGTCGACTTCCAAAGATGCCCGGGGTGTGGGAATGCCGTGTGCTTGTGTGAGCTCTTCTCTTTGCCATGGTTTTTTTTTTTCCCCTCCCATTTCTGTGTGGACTTTATCGAATTATTTTTTTAAAAAATAAGAATCTGCTCCTGGTTCAGGTTCCTTCAAAGACGGACACGAACAACCCTGAGTCCTGCTCAGAAAACTCTCCCCCCAGGGGCCGTGGCGCTTGATCCTGGAGGCTCTTGGTGGTTCCTGCAGTGCCCAGTCATCCCAGTAACACCAATTAGGATATTTCTGCTGGTGACTTTGGTTTTTTTAACCTGTTTTTTTTGGGTTATTTTCAAGAGCATTTGAGCCGCTTCCCCACAGTCTGGTGTGTTCAGTCAAGGCTTGGGACTGTCTTCACCGTGATGCTCTGCGGGAGTGGTTTGAGTGAGGTTTGGTTTGGTTTTCCTGCAGCCACATCTGAGGGGAAATGGCCTTGCTGAGGTCTGGAACGCCAGGCAGACCCAGTGCAGAGCTTTGTATCCCAGCGATGCTCCAGGGTCCGTGTGCCCGCTCCATATCCCGGCATCCAGGAGCTGGCAGGAGCCTGGACCTCGGTGCCAGGTTTTCCAGCTGTATCTCCCTGCTGAGCTGGGTGGGAGAGGAGGGAAGAGATGTCGTGGTGCTGCTGGGATGGAGTCTTGGGCCTGGATCTCCTACTCCTGTGTCTTCCCCATCCAGCCAGACAGGTCTGGCCACAGGCCCCTGGCTTGGGATGAATCCAGAGGGTCCCAGCACTTGGCTCCAGGATCCCTTCCCTCTCTTCCCTCATGGCTGGGCTTTCCTTGGAGCAGCTTCAGGTCACTGGGGCCGAGGGAACCCCTGGTCCCCCCTCACCCCTCCTGCGTGCCACGGCCTTCCCGTGGCCCTGGACCCGCCGGGAGAAGCGGAGCGAGCGCTGCTGCTGATCGGCCCCAGAGCACCGAAGGGGAGCAGGGGGTGGCAGCCCCAAAAGATGGGATCCTCTGGGCCAGAGAATATCAGGGAGAGCTGGACACCTGCACTTGCCCCGTTGGATGTCATTTTTGATGTCCTCCTCTCCGGCTCTTCACCATATCACCCTGGCGCTGCCTCCCGGCTCGTCCCCGTCAGAGGATAATTAGCAATAACGAACTTCGAGGCAACGGTAACTGGAATATCCAGGCTGCACATGGGACACTTATGCAATCAGGTTCCTCATCCATCAGTCTCCTCCTGGTCAGCTTCCAGCACCTCCACCCCGGTTCTCCCCCACAGCCCCGCGTGTACAGTCCCTCCAGCCCCTGTACAGCGTCACCGTGGTGAGGGACAGCCCCCACTGCTCTCAAGGGACCCTTTAATCTTATTTATTTGCTTCTAATTTATACATATATATAAATATATATAAAATTATTTTGCTTAAATTTCTATGGTACACAATAGATGAAAAATGATGAAGACAGAAGTGTCTGTCTGAGTTTTTGCAGCACGAGTACGATTCCCCTCGGCTCGTCCCCGAGGTCAGGGGATGGTGATGGAGTGATTCCCAAAGCAGGGAAGTTGTGTTTTGCTCCAAAGCTGGATGCAGTAGCATGGAAAAGGTTTTCCAGAGACATTCCCCTCTGGAAACGATGTGTTAGGGGTTTGAGGGGCGGCACTCAGGATTCCTCGAGGTGGGATGCTCCAAACTGCTTTCCAGGTCCTGGGTGTCACAGCAGCTGCTCCGGGGTGTTCACTCCTTCAGACCCTTCCTGGAGCTTTGCCCTGGCTTGGGAAAGCCGATGCAGGTTGATCCAGACTTCATCAGATGTGGGATTCAGCCTGGGAGAGCTGCCGGTGTCCCGGCCCCAGGTGTCCCTGCAGGGGGAGCAGCGGATGCTCCGCACTGATCCCGATGCCGCTGGCTTGGTTTGTGGCAGCACCAAAGTGTCCCGGGGGGGTTTTATCCCACTCGAGGCCTGAATCGGGTTTGTAAAATGGGCTAAAAATTGAGCTTTTCAGAATGCCTTACTTTCTTTTTTGCTGTGTCAATGCAAGTGTCACCTGGGAGCTTGGAGAGGGGAGAAGCTCCAGCCCAGGCTGTTCCCAGAGCTGGATCCGGGTGTTCCCGCAGCAGAGGAGGGCGGGGAGCAGGATGTTGCTCCCTAAGTGCTGGCTCTGAGGGTCCTGCTGGGCTCTGGGGCCCTGAGAGGTTCTCTCTGATGTGCCCCCATGGCCACATCCATCTGGGAATCCCCATCACAGCCCTGCACAGCTCCATGGAGCACAGGGGAGCACGAGGAGCACCCCCGACCAAGGAATCCCCCGGATTTTAGGCTAATTGAAAAAACTGCTCCATCTTCCAGAGTTCATCTGTCAGCAGCACTTAACCAGAGCACCATCTCCTGGTCCTTCTGTTCCTCCTGGAGGATTTTAATGTCATTCCACTGTAAATGCTGTTGAATGTATTTTCTTTTTGAACAATAATATATTGTGAGTGATCCCTCTTCTCCTACACGGAAATAAAACTTGGATTCGGGAGTTTTAAAAGCCGCGGTGCTGAGATGGTCACTGGCTCCCCAGGGCTGTGGGGGGGGGGGGGGGTCCTGGAGGAGCCCTGAGGTGGGTCAGCTCTGGGGGGGGAATGGGGGGCAGGGGTGGGAGCAGGGGAGGAGATCCAGGGGAGGAAATCTAGGGAATATTCAAAGGAGAAGGTTGCCCAGAGGACAAGGAGGTCCAGGGAAGTTGTTCAAAGGAGGAGGATCTGGGGAGGAACTGGTCCAGGGAAGGTGGCTGGGGGGCAGGAGGTGGCCTAGGGAAGGTTGTTCAAAGGAGGAGGTTGCCCAGAGGATGAGGAAGTCCAGGGAAGTGCTTATTCGGGAAAGGAGAAGAATCCAGAGGGAAGTTGCCCAGGGGAGGAGATGGTCCAGGGAAGGTGGTTTGGGGGACATGAGGCCAGGAGAGGAGTTGATACAGGGGAGGTTTTTCCAGGCAGGAGGTGTCCAAGGGGAGGAGGTCCAGGGGAGCTGGGGGAGGGTCTGAGCGGGGGCTGTGGAGGCCGGGGGGGGGAGGAATCCCAGGCAGGCTGAGACTGGTCCCTGCGGTCGTTGCCAGGAGACACAGACACACAGCGCTGCCCGTCCCGGCCCTGCCTCTTCTCCTGCCCCTGTCCTGCCTGCCCCAGGTGAGCGCGGGGGACCCCGGCACTGGGACCCCTCAGCCCTGCTGAGCCCGGGGGGTCCCTGCCTGCTCCGGGTGCGGGCAGCGGGACTGAGGGCCCGGCAGCTCCCGGGGGCAGCTCCCGTGCTGGAATCTTGGCTTTAAGGAAAAGCAAAGCTCTGGGCTCCCCTCACCCTGCGGCGGGGCCTCAGCCCGGGACGGGGTGGGTGGGTGTGCCGGGCTGTGTCGGGCTCAGCGTGTTCACTCTGGAGTCTGAGGAGTGCATGGAGTGTGTTCCCCTCCCCGTGCCCTGTGCTGCAGGCCGGGGGGGCAGCCACGGAGCTGGGGGATGGTGCTTTCCATGGCCAGAAGTGCAGTCAGGGTCACACGGGTGCCCAACCCCGGACCAGCACACCTTTGCTCCTGGCACGCTTGTCCGACCCCTCAGTGGAGCTGTTTGCAAGCCCGGGGTGCTGCCCGTCCTGCCTGACCCCGCTGGAGACCCCTCTACCCCCTCGCCAAGGATTTTTGACCAACACCCCAGGGCTTTGAGACACCCAGCAGCTCTTTGCTGTTGCAACCCTGGACCCTGGGAAGCACCTGGAGTCTGCAGGATCCTGGGCAGGGGAACACCAGGACCGTGGGCTGGACTCCCGCTCAGCACGGGTGGGGGTGGGAAGGATGTGGGGCTGACATATGGGGGTGCAGTGGGACCCCCCGGGGGCTGATGCAGCAGCAGCGCTGGGGTGCTCCTGCCTTGTCCCCCACTGAACACCCCGCTCCCTGTTCCCCCTGCAGCCTCCAGGCGTGCCTGTGCTGGGCACCAGCAGCAGCAGGAACGGGGACATCCCTCCCAGCACTGTCCTCGCTGGCTCCGGGATGGCTGGTGAGAGCCAACGGGGCACCTTGGGGCTTTCTCAGCTCTGCTTTGCCCCCCAGCCCACTCGGCCCACCCCCTCTCCAGCTCTCCAGAGTGATGCCAGGCTGGGAATGATGCTGGGGCAGAGGGTCATGGAGATGGGGAAGGGGCTGGAGCAGCAGGAGCGGCTGAGGGAGCTGGGGGGGCTCAGCCTGGAGAAAAGGAGGCTCAGGGGGGACCTTCTGGCTCTGCAACTCCCTGACAGGAGGGGGGTTCAGGCTCTGCTCCCAGGGAACAAGGGACAGGAGGAGAGGGAACGGCCCCAAACTGTGCCAGGGGAGGGTCAGGCTGGGTACTGGGGAAATTTCTTTCCCAAATTTCTTTCCTGTCACAGCTGCCCAGGGCAGTGGTGGAGTCCCCATCCCTGGAGGGATTTCAAAGCTGTGTGGATGTGGCACTTGGGGACATGGTTAGTGCTGGCCTTGGCAGTGCTGGGGAATGATTGGATTCAGTGAACTCAGAGGGCTTTTCCAACCTTACCACTTCTGTGTTTCCATGATTTTACAGCCAGTGCTGTTGATGCAAAACACACACCACAGGGACCAAACCCTGAGTGCCTGGAGAGCAAACTGTGCCCTGGGGAACATGCAAAGGGCAGTTTGGGACCAGGTCCCCCTGGTTTGGGATCAGGACTGTCCTGTCAGGCAGTGGCTTCTCATTTTCTGTGATAGAAGATGGGGACAGTATCCCCATCCCACGCCCTGCTGCCCTGGCACTGCCCCCCCTGTTGAGCTGTGCCAACCCTGGGAGCATCGTCAGGGTCAAATAGACCCTGGTTTAAAAAGCAAGTAAGGAGGATATTTTGTGGCTTTTTCTTCTGGAAGCAGTTGAGGATTTTGCTGGAGAAGGGGGGATGTCTTCACTGTCTGTGCTTTGGTGCCCAAGAAATGCTCCCTGATAAGAGCAGGAATTTCCAGTCCCTCCAAGGTGGTTCAGATCCAAGCTCCTTCCTACCCCTGCCCAGGCACAGGGTGGGCTCATGGTCTGCTCTCCCACACAGAGCTGGAAGGACACAGTGCTGGGTGTCCCCGGGGTGACAGCAGCCCTGTCCCATGGGAGCAGGAGCAGTGCTGGGCTCCTCTCCTGGGCTCCAGCCCGGGGGACCGGAGCAGCTCCAGCTCCATCCACACCGAGGACTTCGCTGCCAGGTTCCAGGAGGGAATGGTGGATCCCCTGCTGTCCGAGGAGGAGGAAGATGAGCTCACTGGGCTTGTTCCCACTGAGGGAGCTGACCCTGGGCAGGATGAGTCCTTGTTCCCCACAGGGAGAAGTCTGGATGTCTGGAGACAGCTGGCGATGGACATCCCGAGGGACGGGTCTCCATCCCTGATGAGGAGGGGTAGCCTGGAGTCCCTGGGAGCCAGGATATCCCGGCTGAGCCAGAGCCATGTGCTGGGGATGGCCGGGGGGGGGCCCTGCCCAGCCCCCTCTGCCCAGCCAGCCCTGGGCCGGGGGGACTCTCCCCGTGGGGGTCCAGGCTCCAGGGAAGAGCTGTCGGCCTTTGCCCTGCCTGGGCATCCCCTGAGGACTCCAGGGATCTCTGCTGGCAGGAGCAGGGCCGGGGCAAGGACAGGCTCTGCCGGTTTGCCCCGGGCCAGCAGTGCCAGGACCAGGGGACATCCCTCCAGCAAGGCCCTGGGCCAGAGGCAGCAGGAGCCACCAGCACTCCGGGGACAGAGCAGAGGGAATGTCCCCCTGGCTGTGGATGACACGGAGAGGGAAGGAGCGAGGGAAGGAGCAGGCGGCAGGAACAGAGCTCCCTGCTTGGATCGCCGTGAGTCCGGGCTGGCCGGGGCGGTGCCCGGAGGAGGAGGGAGGGTGGGATAAGCAGGGGGAAGGGGCAAGGCCGGGCCAGGGGCCCGCTCTGGGCAGCGCACGACAGCAGGACCGGCCCCAGTTGCTCATGGGGTTTGTCCGGGTTTGGGGCTCCCCCTCCCCAAAACGCCCCTTTCCCCGCAGGTGCTGAGGCAGCAGTGGGAGCACTGGGAGCACTGGGAGCCCCCGGGCGATGTGGTGCCGGGACAGGGGTGTCCCCTGTGTTCTGGTGGCAGCGTGGGAAGCACGAAGTGGGGCTGCCCTGCAAGGTACAGCCCTGGGGCTGGCTGGGCTTTGGGGGCTGCCCAGGGGGACTGCCCTGGCCATGGCACCGGGGGAGGGGAGGGGGGGATGTTCCCGGCTCTGCCTTCTGCTGGGATGTGGAGCCCAGCGGGGATGTGCCCTGGGCCTTGTGTCCCACGAGGTGGCCACGGAAACGCACATGGAAATGCTCACGGAAAAGGAGCAAATGGGTTTGTAACGCCACTCTTGGATGGCAGCGCGCAGTGGCACGGCCGGTGTCACTGCAGAGGAGCCAGGAGAGGACACGAGAGCCGGGATCTGGTGCCAAGACTCGGAGTGGAGGGGACAGAGCCAGGTGTGCTGGGGCTCCGGGGATGAGTCCTGCACTGAGGCTGGGGAAGAGGACGGTCCCAGAAGCCCAAGAGGGTCCTGGACCCCCAGAGGGGGTGGACACCCTCCTGGGTCTCCTCCTGCAGAGCCGGGAGTGGGGACACCGGGGATGGGGGTGACGGTGTCCCCACCACAGGGCTGGCCTGGCACTGCTGCCACACCCCTGGGAGAGCTGGCACAGCCACCCCACGGACCTGGAGAGGATGGTGAGGTGACCTCGAGATGGCCCAAGCAGGGGCTGTCCCCGCGGGTGGCAGGGACAGGCTGGGGGTGCCCTTGGGTGGGGGTAGAGGCTGGGGGGCTGTGCTGGCTCTGCTTTGGGAGGGAGGGGCGGGGCTGGCTCATAGAAGAGGCAAAGACGTGGGAATGGGAAAAGAGGGGGATTTGCCAGTCTCGGCAGGGACAGGGAGCCTGTGCCGGCTGCCGGGAGCGGCTGGGGAAGGAGGGAAGAAAAATGTTGGCTTTGCAAGAAGAGAAACTGGAGCTACTGAAGGTCAGTGAACTCCCAGCTTTCCAGGGGGGCCAAGATCACACCGGAGGGGCCGCGGGAAGGAGCATACACATCACACCCCTGTCAGGGCTCAGCCCCTTATCCAGGCACGCACATGTCCCACGGGAAGAGTCTGGGGCTGCCCAGATTCCCGAAGAGCCAAACTACATTTTTCCCCAGGAAGGTTTTATTGAGGGGTTGGAGCTTTTAAGGGAAGAGTTTGTTGGGAAAAACCACCCTTGTGTCTGCAGTCAGATGGGGTGACTGGTCTGCAGGTCAGAGGGTCCCTGGAGACCCCCAGCAGAGGCAGGGAGAGCTGGAATGTTGGGGGTGGGCAGGGCTTGATGATACCCAGGCTGACAGCACTGACTCACCAAACCTCAGCTCTTTTCTGGGGGACATCGGGGCTGAGGTGGTGCCACCCTGGCCAGTAGGGACTCGCGCATCCTGCCTGGAAACTGCCCCTGGGAAGAGCCTTCCTGGGTCTGGAGGGTGGCCGTGGGCAGCCAGAAGGGGTGATGTGACTCCGGCTGCTCTTGCAGAGGCTCCGGGAGCTGGAGCAGAGCAGCCGCTCCCTCCTGCAGCAGAGGCTGGAAACGCTGCACCAGCTCCAGGGGCTGCTCCTGAGGGAGAAGGTGGACACCCTTCGGCAGCTCCAGAAGACCCTGGAGCAGGTCAGGCAGGGAGAAGGGGATGATGGGGATATGAGGCGGTGCCAGGGCACCCCTTGGTCGGGCACATCCCAGCACAGCTGAACTGCAGAACCGAGGGCTGTGGGGATCCCCCTGAGGGGGATCAGCCTGGGGATTGCAGCAACCCAGATGTGCTGCTCCCTCCAGGTCATCCAGATGTTTTTCCCTCCCCACGAGAAGGGCTGGTGAGGATAGAGGGCTCTGTTGGGTGCTTTGGGCAGCAGGTTCGGCATCGTGCCTCTCGGGGCATGGTCTGTGCTGGGCATGGCTCGGGGGGAGATGCCCCCCGGGTGCCTCCAGGCTTGTCCTGCCCTTGCCAACCCCCTGCCCAGCCCTGGATGGCTTCAGGTTTTCCCTGGCAGCTCTGAGCTGGCTGCGAGGCCAGCAGCGTTCACAGCAGAGACCGAGCGGGCTCGGGGGGCAGAGCTGGTGGTGCAGGCGCCGCTCTGATCCCTCTGTCCCGACACTGCTCCCCAAGGAAAGGGCCGGCAGGAGCGTCCGGCTGGAGCATCTCCCGGGACAGCCAGGGCAGCCGGCGGGGCGGGGGCGGGCTGGGCACTCCCCGGCCATGGAGACCCCCTCGCTGTGCCAACACCAGCCCCTCCCCAGCAGTTTCCCGGGACGGGACCCCTCCCCGACCGAGGGCGGGTGAGTCCCAGAGCCGCAGGTTCGGTGGGAGGGAGCTCCAGTGGGTCCTGGGGGTTCCTGTGCCCCCGGCCCCTCTGCGAGGAGCCGCTCGGTGCCCTCGCACACTCTGACCCCTCGTCCCTCCCTGTCCCCTCCAGGTCGTTCCCCCCGTCCCACAACCACGCTCTTCACATCCTGCGGGGGCTCCGGGAGCACATCCAGCGCCGCCTCCGGGCGTGGCAGAGGGTGGAGGGAGCTCTGGGACCTGCTGGACAGAGGAAGGAGGTGATTTGGGTCTGGGAAGGAGGGTCTGAGAGGTGGTTGGAATTCGTGACCTTTGGAGAATCCATCGGCCTTTGGAGGAATCCACATTCCCCGTTCCTGGAGCCCACCCTTTGGAATGCAGGGCGATGGGATGTTCCCGCTCTCCAGCCACACACAGACCGCGTGTCTGTCCCCGTGCAGGAGGGTGGGCAGAGGCAGCGGCCGGAGCAGCCACGCAGGGACGAGGCACCGGCTCCAGGAGCCCTGAGGGAGCAGCTGCTCCAGGGAAAGGCTTCAGGTCCTGCTCCAGAGCTCCCCCCTTGCAAGGCTGCGGTGGGGGCTCAGGTAATTGGGTCTCAGGGGGGTTGGGGTCTCAGTGACCTGCAGGGACCCCCAGCTCACCTGCAGAGGCTGCGTGCCCAGCACTGCTGGTGACAAGTGTCAGGTGATGCAGAAATCAGCCGTGTGTGCCCAGGGCTCCTGCACATCTCCAGAACCACTTGCAGGAGCTGCAGCTGGAGAAGACACAGCACGTGGGGAAGCTGAGTGTCCTGGGGGCAGAGCCGGGAACCACAGCAAGAGAGGAGGTGCAGAGACAGCCAGGGACACTCACCCCGTGCCACAACCTCAGCCCAGGGGTGGATCCAAACGAGGAGGAGCTGCAGAACTCCACTGAGGACCAGGCCAAGGACAGACCTGCCTGGTGGGAATGGTCCTGCAGGGGGGCTGGGACACCAGGGCTTGTGTCTGACCTCAAGACTTCGGGCAGGTCCCACCACCCCCCTCGGTCTGTGTCATGGAATCAGTGATACCAGGGTTGTTTGTTGATCCTGGGGTGGAATTGTTTGTTGGACCTGATGGTGGAATGGCCATGGAGGTCCCAGGGAACCTTCTCCTGAGCTTGCCTGGATGGAGCACAGGGTCCTTACACTCCTCTTCCCACTCTGCAGCTTCTCCCCTCCTCTCCTCAGTCTCCCACCCCTGGGATGCAGCCATGGGGTGCCTCTCACAGCAGGCTGGAGGTGGCACTTCCTTTGCTGTCCCAGCACGAGGACGCACATTAGGTTGGATATTGGGAAAATGTCTTCACTGAAAGGGTTGTTCAGCCCTGGCACAGCTGCCCAGGGCAGGGGTGGAATCACCATCCCTGGGAGTGTTCAAAAATGAGCAGATGTGGCACTTGGGGACATGGTTCAGTGGGCACTGGGGGGTTTGGTCGAAGGTTGGGCTCGATGACCTTGGAGGCCTTTTCCAACCTTTATGATTCCATGATTCTGTGTTTTCTCCCTGGACACCGAGCCCCCAGCAGGGAATGCCATGAAGATGAGGTGTCACAGCCATGGAGTTCCAAGAACCTGCAATGAAGAGAACAGCAAAGCTCCTGCAAATTCCTCGTTATGAGCCTGTGGTGGCTCTTGGAGCTGCCAATTGCCTTTGGGAAGTGGGATCTGCCCACTCAGTGCTGGGAACACTGACCCTGGGACAGCTGTGGGCAGGAAGGTTTAATGGACAAACAACAGGGAATGGTTCTGTTTAGACGCTTTAATTTAATTTTGGAAAGGGGAAACCTCTTCCTCAGCCTCTGCACAGCTCTCTGGGGCAAGGCTGATTTTAATTCCAGCAGAACACCCAAAGGGACTTTCTCCACGTGCAAGGGGGGAGATGAGAATTTCTGGCAGTATTTTATTACTACACCTTGTTCTTTGGGAAGGGATGAGAACCGGGATATTTGTGTGCTTTCTTTCCAGTGAAAAGTGGTTTTCATTTTGTTTCTCTGCAATGTGGGCTCGGGGAGGTTCCTGAAATCCCTTGCTGAAGTGACTGTGTTATGATTTTCCTTCTAAGTTTCACCAGCAGAATGTGGCACGAGCTGCATCTTTTCTGCAGAGCTTTTAATTAAAACCCAAATACTTGCAAGGCTCCATGAACGTCTTTGCCAACCTCAGGCTGAGGTTCCTGGTCATGTGAATGAAAACAGGAGAGATAAAACTGATCTGGTAGCAGAGGCTTGATGGGAAAATGGCTCCCAAATCCCTGAGTGACCACAGCAAGGTCTCCAACCCCGGGGATTTCACCTGTGGGTTCCCTGTCTGATTCTCAGTCATTCCCTCTTTGTTATTGGAGACTCACAGGATGGTTTGGGTTGGAAGGACCCTAAAGCCCATCCTGTTCCACCCCCTGCCATGGGCAGGGACACCTTCCACCAGCCCAGGTGGCTCCAAGCCCCGTCCAACCTGGCCTTGGACACTTCCAGGGATCCAGGGGCAGCCACAGCTTCTCTGGGCAACCTGTGCCAGGGCCTGCCCACCCTCACAGCCAACAATTCCTTCCCAATATCCCATCTATCCCTGCCCTCTGGCAGCTCCAAGTCATGGGTGTGAAGGTTTTGATCCTGGAAGAGGCTGAAGACATAAAGTGGAAGATCCACCGTGGTGAACTTTGCTTTAGTGATGGACTTTCATGATGGAACCCTCTGCTTCTTCAACAATTCATGGACACACTGGGGTTTTTAAGACTGGCCTGGGAGAAACCTTTCAAGAAGGTGTGAGGCAGTGGATGGAGTTAGACTGTAGCACTTTTGCTCTTTAAAATATCCAGGGATTCACTTTTCTTTTCCCATATTTGACCTTTTTTTCTGTGGGATGCAGTTGGGATGCAGCACAGGCACCTACAGCTCCTGCTGTGGCTGATGCTGCTGGTGCTGTGAGTGTGAGGGAATTGGGATTGCTTTGCTCTGGAATCATCCAGAGGGTTGGGATTGCTTTGCTCTGGAATCATCCAGAGGGTTGGGATTGCTTTGCTCTGGAATCATCCAGAGGGTTGGGATTGCTTTGCTCTGGAATCATCCAGAGGGTTGGGATTGCTTTGCTCTGGAATCATCCAGAGGGTTGGGATTGCTTTGCTCTGGAATCATCCAGAGGGTTGGGATTGCTTTGCTCTGGAATCATCCAGAG